AAACTGATGCACCTATTTGGGTAGATCAATGGCCCCTACCGCTGGAAAAGCTTCGCGCCCTCCAAGAATTAGTTACGGAACAGTTAACGAAAGGACATATTGTGCCTTCTACTAGTCCCTGGAATTCACCTGTTTTTGTCATTAAAAAACAGACTGGCAAGTGGCGCCTGCTCCATGACCTCAGGAAAATTAATGACGCTATGGAAGATATGGGAGCCCTTCAACCAGGACTCCTGTCCCCCACTATGATTCCTCAAAATTGGCATTTGACTGTTATCGATCTTAAAGATTGCTTTTTTAATATCCCACTGCATCCAGACGATGCTCCTAAATTTGCTTTTTCAGTCCCAAGCGTCAACATGCAAGCCCCGTTGCAGAGATACCAGTGGGTTGTGCTGCCACAAGGAATGAAGAACAGCCCTACAATCTGTCAATGATAGGTAGCTAAGGTCCTTAGTCCAGTTAGGACCACAATGCCCAGTGTTTTATTATACCATTATATGGATGACATCCTAGTGGCCGCACAACATCACGAAGTCATGGAGGAAGCTGTAGCCCTTGTCACAGCTGCCGTTAGTTCTGCAGGTCTTTGTATCGTGCTGGAAAAAATTCAGAAAATACCACCGTGGAAATACCTAGGCTGGCGCATAAGGGCTCAAACTATAGTTCTCCAGCCCTTACAGATACAGACAGACATAAAAAATTTGCATGATGTACAGAAATTGTTGGGGACAATCAATTGGGTCCGACCACTGTTAGGAATCTCTAATGTGGACTTAGGTCCTTTATTTGAATTGCTTAAAGAGAATACTGACTTGTGTTCCCCCCGTAGTCTTGGCCCTGAGGCCGTTGACTCTTTGCAAAAGGTTGCCACAGCAATCACTCTCAGACAAGTACACCAGTGGGATCCTGAATTACCTTTTTATTTAATTATCCTAAACCCCGCTCGACAGCCTCACGCGCTGATATTTCAATGGGACGTTCAGAAACCGGATCCACTGTTAATTATTGAATGGGTTTTTTTATCAAATCAACCTATGAAAACCATTTTGACACAGCATGAAATGTTTGCTTCTCTGATAATTAAGGCCAGGCAGCGCTTGTTAACGTTATCAGGAGTGGATTTTGCTTGTATTTGTTTACCTGTGACAAACATATATTTGCAGTGGCTTTATCAGTAGTCAGACGCCTTTTGTATGGCATTAGCAGACTATGTGGGACAACTTACATCCCACCCACCTTCGCATAAGCTGCTCAGTGTTGACTTTCACCTGATACTCAGGCCGAAAAGGAAATGAGGGACCAGCCATTACAGGCCCTCACTGTCTTCACGGACGGGTCTGGGAAATAGCACAAATCTGTCATTTTATGGTGGGACGACCAGTATGGACGATGGGACTCCGACATAGAGACCGTTCCTGGCTTGCCCCAGATAGTGGAACTAACGGCGGTTGTTCGGGTTTTTCGCAAGTGGTCTATACCACTTAACCTTATTACCGATTCAGCTTCTGTTGCAGGGATTGTTGAGCGGGCTGAAGCATCTGTGTTACGCGATGTCTCACATTTTGAGCTATTTGCCTTGTTACAAGAACTTATCTTTCTCTTGGACACTCGCCCTCACCCCTACTTTGTTATGCATGTCAGATCACACACCTCTTTACCTGGATTTATTGCAGAAGGAAATCTGCTGACATTACCAGTGCAAGTATTGCCAGATCGCATAGCACAGGCTAAGCTGAGTCATTCCTTTTTTCATCAGAACGCTGGAGGTCTTAAACGACAATTTGGACTAACCTCCCAACAAGCAGCAAATATAATTGCTGTATGTCCCGACTGTCAAAAACATTCTTTCCCATCGATAACAGGAGGTGTTAATCCCAGAGGATTGCAGAGCTCACAGTTGTGGCAAACAGATGTTACACACTGTCCCGAGTTTGGTAAATTGAAATATGTACATTCTTCTATTGACACATTTTCAGGTGCTTTGTTTGCTTCTTGCCACACAGGAGAGAAGGCACGAGATGTCTGCAAAAAAACACCTGATGCGTTCTTTTGCTACCCTGGGCATACCCTTGCAAGTAAAAACAGACAATGGCCCGGCATATGTCTCGGCCACGACAAAAACCTTTTTTGATTCCTGGGCAAACACCTGATGCGTGCTTTTGCTACCCTGGGCATACCTTCGCAAGTAAAAACGGACAATGGCCCGTCATATGTCTTGGCCGTGACAAAAACGTGTGACCCACATCACTGGCATCCCTCCTTCCCCTACGGGCCAATCCCTGATTGAATGCTCTCACCAGTCCTTGAAACGCTTATTACAACAACAGAAAGGGGGAGTAGGGACTGCTACCCCTGAGGAACATCTACAGAAAGCTTTATATGTTTTTAACTTTTTGAATTGTTCTCTAATAGATAACAACCCTCCAATAGTTCGACATCGAGCTATCGTACCCCCAAAGTCACGGAAGACAAGGGCAGGGATTGGGAGAATGGAGAGCAACCCATGGTCAGTGAGGATCAGGTCCTAGAATGCCTGAGGGCTGCCAGCGCACACTGTCGGCTCATGTTCAGTTTTTCGAGAGGCCCCAGGTGGATTCCGGCAAAGAGTGTACGACCTTTCCGTGAATCCTTACCACAACTGTCCGGTGAAAACTCCGATCGGCCACCAGACCATCCTTTTGAACGATAAGTCGATGGATCTCCTGAGGAGGACCAGGATGGCATGAGCTGAACACCGCACGTGGAGAACGGCTATATATGAATCAGTGTAAAGAGATACCAGTTACAGAAATTGCCTGCGTTTTATGTAAAGCCTGTGACCCCTGGGTCTTATGTATATGTGATACTTGTGAAAGAGGATGGTGGCGCCGCGCAACGCTTGCTAAGCGTTGGTGTGATAACTGTTTAGAAGAGGAGATTGATAGAGCTAAAGTCTTATTAACTACTGGATGTGAACCAGTAGGAAGCGACCATTATTTATATAGCTGTATAGATTGGGCCCATTTAGTATTTGAAAGGTCGAAGGATGTTTTAGTTTGTAATCTAGAGTGTAGCAAAACAAACCTGGTCCCCGCTATATGGTCTGTCCTTAAACAAGATTGGGATCGAACGAAAGAAAGCTGCAGAAAACGGTTTGCCTGGAAATTGAGAGGGGGCAGAAAATTGTTTTTGGAATAATACTTCTTTTTATGACGATGCTAGAGGTTGTACAAGGATATCCCTTTTTACCTGCATTTCCTAAAGCTAATGTATGGGTAACACTAGCGAATCTCACCGGGCAAGATACCTTGTGCCTTGCTACTGCCTCACCTAACAACCCTTTTTCCACATGCCTCGTGGGCCTGCCTCTAGATGAGTGGCCGGTACCTGAAGAATTGAAACGCGTTTTTCCAGTTCCGTCGCGAAATTTGATGGATAATTGGGACGCATGGGTCCCCCACCTCCCACAGGCTACTCTAGAACCACAGGAAATCGAGCTCCTTGGATCGGTTAAAATAGATCTTTGTGTTAAATTTAACTATACAGGGAAAATTCAGTCCAAGGCATGGGATGTCTCTCCTGCTCATCCCGTCTTTAAAAATGTTAGTGTTTGGTGTAATTATATGGCGACAAACCTGTCTAAATCTAGCAATGCCCCCCTTTTATTACCATTGGGGATATTTTTTATTTGCGGAGATAGAGCATGGCCCGCAATACCCTCTCACATAAGAGGAGGCCCGTGCAGCCTCGGACGCCTCTCGGTTTTAACTCCTAATGCATCAATGATTTTACAACAGTCTCTCTCACAGAGCAAAGCGTGGCATCCATTCATATACTTCTGAATGTGATGATAATTTGGAGTTTTGGTCCTTTGGTAAACGTTTTACCGCCTCTCTTCTTGCACCTGGAGTTGCCACTGGAAAAGCATTAGCGACCTTGGATAAACTTGGCTGTTGGCTTGCCAAGCAGACGAATGCTACTAGTAATGCCTTGTCTGGATTTTTATTAGATGTAGACAGTGTTCGCCACACTACGCTTCAAAATAGAGCTGCCATAGACTTTTTACTCTTGGCACAAGGCCACGGCTGTGAGGACTTTGAGGGTATGTGTTGTATGAATCTCTCTGACCATTCAGAACCTATCCATGCCAGTATACGACTACTTAAGGAAGGAGTTTCAAAGCTCTGGCAGGATGATAGCTGGGATTGGTTAGATAAACTTCTTGGAGGTTGGGGGTTATCAGGATGGCTGCGAAGCTTGATAAAGACTTTAGTATATGTCTTCGCTGTTTTTATTCTTTTATTGCTCTTTTTACCCTGTCTGTTACAATGTTTGCAGAAGTTAATAGCGCGGTCTGTCAAGAAAGTCCTTGTTGTGCAACAGGAGAGGGGAGATGTGGGGAATGATTTAGCAAGCCTCAGTAAAAGCCTTAGCACGGTCCAGCTAATAGAAGGGGGCATGCTGGAACTCGTCGGCAACCGGCCTTGGGTAGATTAAGATCAGAATTGTATGTATGAGGAGCAAGGAGTGCTGACATTGTGTCTGCACTGAGAGGGTTGTGAAACAACTGTCCCATCACTGAGGAACTATTGTCCCAAACAGGAAGGACTGTGGTAACTAGATAAGTAAATGTTTGAAAAGAAAAATGTTAGCAGTAACCAATCAGTTGTTAGCACACAAGCCAAATGTGAACCAATGAAATTGCAATGTAAATAGAAGCACCAATCAATTTGAAACACGCTATTTTCTGATTTATATAAATATGTGTGAGTAACTGCAATAAAGCGACATCTTGCTTGCATCAAGCTGTGTCCCGTCTCTCAATCGCGGCAGTGGTCTGTGGCCCTGAGCTTCAGGTTGGAAAAAGAAGGGCCAAGGCTGCTCCAGAGCAACTGCTTAGCTTCAGTTTGTGCACAGGGAACTCCTTCACTGGTCTCTGTGAAATGTGTGTTTTGGCAACTTAGGGGAATGAACTGTATTTCCTTTAAAACAGGCATGCCTACATTTCTGCCCTCCCCTTCCCTCCAAGAAAACAATTACTACAGTTTTGATCATTTTTGACTTCTGGATGAGAGCTCTTCTTAAGGAAGCAAGTCTTCCTTGTTGCATCCCTGTGTTTACTGACTACTGCAACAACCAGAAGAGCTTCTGTGCTTGTTTCCCATGATACAAATGGCTAGTTTGTAATAATATACATGGACCTTAGTGTGTGCTTTGAGGTATCACCCTATGCAGTATGTGTAGGACCATTGCTGTCATGACTGTCCCAGCTAATCCAGCAGGTATCAGAGGAAGCTCAGTTAACAGCATTTCAGTGTTTCAGCATCATTAGACTTTGTATATTTCTAAAGAAAAAAAAAAAAGGGAAAATTCAGCAAAATGTAGGCTTTTTTAAAATTCTGTAAAAGATACTGTAAACATGAACTCATGTTTTCAGTTAAAATTGCAGTGGAAAATCTGTCAACAGTTCTTTTTTTAATATTTTTTTTTCTGAAACTGTTTCAAATCTTCACCATAAGCCAGACAAAAACATATGGAGGTTCATTTTAGGACTTTAAGAAGCGCTTGCAAGACAAAGCAGAGAGCTCTTTGAATGCGCTAAGGGAGTTACAGTGCTTCTCACATGTGTCTGGCTCTAATTTCGCAGAAAAAAGACTATTGTGCAGTTGGATCTATCCCTAACAGCTTCAAGTGGCACATGCCACACGTCTAGAGAAGTAAGAAGGGATTATAGCTACTGAGATAAGTGAAGACCCAAGGGATTATACACAGTGAAGTATGCTGGCATTACGAGATTGTAGGTCTCTGTTTTACGACTGCAGATACAGTATCATGTAAGGACCTTTCTTTAGACTGAATGGTCGCTGCATGAGCACAGTGGCTGTTGTTCTGTTTGGCAGGGTGGTTCACTGGTTAGTCTTTTAGGCACCAAGGTAACCGTGTTCCCTCATAAAAACAAAATGCTATTTCTCAAAAGTAATGCTATTTTGCAGCCTGGCTGGCCCTTCACCTTTTTCTGTATGGGGTATTTTTTTGTTGTTGGGTTTCTTTCTATTTTAAATACTCCTGGATTCAAATTCTGAAGAGTAATTAATGAAGAAAAACTAAATTTAGGATATGCAAAACATCATAGAAAATTTGAGCCTTTAATGCTCATCTGCTATATCAGAGATACATAATATTTTTAGATTTTTTTCTTTTAATCATGTAACATCTGTTACTATTCTCCATAATGTTGATTGAAAGAACTGAGAAATTTATGCTATTTGTACCTGAGATTCATATTTCTGTGAGTAAGGACACCAATTCTGTGATAAATGCTTTGTGTTCTATTCATGTTCACATCCTTTGTTTGGGCAACTTTCAGAATGGTCATATTCTTTCCTGCAGGGTGCTTTGTGGGAGCACGCAATTCCCTTATATAGTAGAGCACTCCCTGAACAAACCACTCATTCAATGGATGGTGTATTTTTATGAAATACTGCAATTTATATTACAGTATGGCTTGCACCTCAAAACATAGACCAGTATAATACTGTTTTGACACTATATGAACATAGCAAACCCATTTTTTTTTCTCCCATAAAGCTTACAAATATAACATAAGAGGTAGCAGACAGGATAACAATGAGAGGAGTGAAAAGAGATAGTGAGAATGTATTGATCAGCGTGAGTGATCCCAACACATCAAAAGCTATGTTAGCTTTCTCTCAGCTGTCATAGGAAAGCAGTCTACTAAGAGATGCCAGAAATGATGGTGAGTTGCTCAGTGGATGTTTATAAAGAGCTTCTCTTAAACCACAGGGATATTATGACAAAGCATGCAGGGATTTGGAGTAAGTGATCAGTAAGGCTAATGTCACAGACTTATTTTAATAGGAAAAAAGGACTTGGCATAGAGAGTGAGTGGTGAGTAGGAGGTAGGGGCAGCCTGTGTCTGAGTCTATTCCCAAAGTGGTGTCATTGGCTAAGTTAGCCATGAGGCAGAAGGGTCTGCAGGCCTGGGGGTGCACAGGTGTAACCTGCATGGCATAGCTGGTGGGAGGCGTGCACATAACCCTGTGAGCAAGTGTGTGTGTGTGTCTCTAGATCATTTTGGGATTAGTCATGAAGGGTGCTAATAAACATTTACAAAGTTTAAACATTGTAAGACACTGCTACCAATCCTGTATGTATAGCTTGCTGATCACTGGTTAATTACATATCAATAGTGAACGAAAAAAATGACTTCAATCCTGATCTGTCTTATACCATGTGCACTGAGCAGCTGTTCCCTGTGCCAGATGTTAGGTAGGAATAGATCCCTGTGGGAAAAGCAAAGATTGAAAACTGAATGGACGAGGGTCTTGGCTAGCTCAGGAGGAAGATTTTGTGTGATGACTGGGAAGAGCATGGCTGGCAAAACTTAAAAGGAAAGTTTAGAGTACTAAGAATTGTTAAAGATTTGAGGAGAAAGTGACCAAATTTGTCAGGAACAATTTGCCCTTGGTGAAGCCATGTTGGCTGTCACCAATCATCTCCTCATTTTCCATGTGCCTTAGCATTGTTTCCAGAAGGATATAATCCATGATCTTGCCAGGCACAGAGGTGAGACTGCCTGGCCTGTAGTTTCACGGGTATTCCTTTTTTCCCTTTCTGCCACTGACCAGTGTGGTCCTATTCAGAGAAAGATACAGTAACAACATATTAAAAAAAACAAACGAACAAAAAAAACCCCCACCCAAATCAAAACAGTTTCAAAGGGGAG